GCATCTATTTGATGTAATAGCTTTCTGTGAGGCAGCTTAAAGATATATTAATCTCTTCAGTGTGGTTTCTATCACCACCACTGTGAACAATCCTGAATCAGGATGTTTCTCTAGAAGGGAGCATTTCACATCAGACCACTCTGAATTAATTTTGCAGAATTTTTGAGAAACCTGTGGAATTTCCCTTAAACAAACAAAACCGGTATAGTGCTCACCACCACATGTGGCACCAATGAAAGTTTTTTGTTATGCTGTGGTGGTATACTGACAATAAAGTTGGAGTGAACTGAACTAAATGTATGCTCTGGGGCTGTGTGCCTATGTCTTACTCCCAGAGTTTCTGTGAAAGAGGAGAGGTGGTGAGGGTGAGAGAGAGAAGAAAGTGCTGGTGCCCTGTTGAACTCTCCCCCTGCTGTCACTCAGGGGACGGCTGGCAGTTGCTGTAGGTTTGTGAGAGCGTGCCTCGCGCTTCACTGCGGACACACACACACGCACACACACACACACACACACACACACACACACACACACACACACAAACACACACACACAACCCCCTCAATCCATAGCCAGCAGAAGCGAGAAATGTTTCATGGATGACATCACAGTGCTTTGCTCTCTGTCTTTTCATACATTAGACTTATCTTACTGGCTCAGGTGGTGTACAAGTAGAGAGGTGTTTCACTGTGAGCATGTGTGTGGGAAACCATTCACTCATAAACACTCCACACACACACACACACACACACACAGTGCAGAATAGTATCCATCTGTCTCAGAAAATAACCAGAATTTGCCCCTTTTCTCCTTTCCACCAACTCTCTCTCTCTCTCTCTCTCTCTCTCTATCTGTCTCTCTGTGTGTTCTGAAAGTTAAGCTGCAGCAGAGAAAGCTGGGTCCTCTGTACCACTGTCCTACGTAGTCACCTTGTTTGTGTAATGTAAAATGGAACCGTCCAGCAAGTCCGCTTTGCTACATCATAAATAAGGAGTCAGCAAAAAATTTGATGGAGAAAATACTCTTGATGCAAATTACAGCAACAGAAGCTAGCAAGCAAAAAACATTAATTTGTTTGCAACTGCAAACCTAAAAGTTGCTCAACTCAGAGAAAGCAGGTACATTCAATTCACATCCTCATTACAATGTATAATCACAGAATATCAAATGATTCTGTGCTTATAAGAAAGGCTAGCAATATGAAGCCCATTAAACAGCCGATATGAATGGTAAAAGGGTATAATAAAATGTATAATAAAATATACAGTGCACTAATTCTTAAAAAAAGATGATGCAAGACAAAACTCATTTCAACTAACACGCTTTTAAAGTTTATAAGAACAAGAATTATGCAGATAAGGTAGCAGATGTGGTAGTTTCATCAGCCACAGCTTTCTTTGGGCCAGACACATGCACGAAGGACTATAGGAGTCAGAAGAGTGTGAAGGATACTCTTTTAGCCTCCTTGAAAATTCAGAATGTAGGCTGCGTTCCTCGGCTGTTTTCGAAGCATTCCTTTGATTGGTAGCCATCTAGAAATGCAGCCTAGCTTTTGGAATGCAGCTTCTGTCTCTGTCACAATTTTCCTCGGCAAGCTCTGCCTCCATATAACTGTGTTTACTTGTATATTGTTTATAACCCCTCCTTGTAATTATCACCTCAGCTGTTCCTCATGTTATATTGGTGGATATATAGCTCTGGTCCCCTTTTTGTTCTATGCTGGCCATTGCTGTGATGTGTGGTTTCTGTGTTTCATGTTTTTTATCTCTGTTGTTCTTTTCTATTGTTTGCACCTTTTAGCCTAGTCTAGTTTAGTCTGCCTTTTGCTATTTCTCCATAGATACTTGGCATTTCAGCTTGCTCAGTGTCTCCTGTCTTTAATCTGGACTCGAAAACAGCTTGCATATGCATCCTTGCTTCTCGCCTTCTTTGCTGCAGCCTCGTTACAGTCTCGCTCTCTCTCCCTCTCTCTCTCTCTCTCTCCCTCTCTCTCTCTCTGAAATGTGTTGAAATCGTGGTGCTTCTGCCTGCTGTTGAATGCTCTCTCCTCTCTGTGGTGGATCATAAATGGAGCCTACAGGTGACAGGCCGCCCCACTGTGCACCACAGTCGCACTCCACTAGCCTGCCAGATGCTCCAAAACGTTACTCATTTTGTAAACATCCAAACGCACAAATACAGCAAAGATGCTCTTTGGAAGCAACTCAACACAACAAGGATAGAAAAATGAACGTTTCAGAAAGTATAAATGAGGTTCTTTGAAAATAAATGCTTATTTTTCGTGTGGAATTAAATCATTCAGTTAAGTTCTATCCAACAAGCAATTAGAGATGGAGCCTGTCACTGTCTGTTTACTGGCAATCGTACCTTGGGAGGAAACAAAACTCACTTGTAAACTGCCCCCTTCCACAACATGACATTTGTTAAGCAATTACCTCAATTCCACAGAGCAGAAAATACATTCTGTGCAGTGACACTGCGCTTAAGCTAAGCCTGTAATGGCTTTCAGAGGATAATTAAACACTGCTTTATTGAGGAAAGCCTCAAGTTCTGGCAGATGAGTAGGAAAAATCTCAGAGCCCAAAAGCAATTTGCTCCTCGACTGTGGCTGCTTATTTCCATAAATATCTGATTTAATGGTGTAAACCAACATTGTATGAGAAAGGCCTCAGACTATGGCTGGTATTTACGAGGGCTTTAGAGACATTTATTAAGAAACGCTTTGCTAGCTGGGCTTGCATGTTTGCCACCAGAGAGGGAGCAGTGCTGTGTTTTGGTTGGCCAGCTTGGCCGTTCCGCTCGGCCGCTACAATAAAAACTCTTCCCTAGCCCGTGTTCTCAATCAAGCCTTTACACAAAACTTGAAATGACTTTGAGGACCAAGAAACAGCACACAGTAAAACGTGAGAGGCGTGTGTACAATATCATTCCTCAGAGAGAACTTTCTCAGTGTATTCAGACAGCGCTTCATCGCTCGCGTATTGCAGTGGACTCCGATCGATAACAGTCAGGGGGAGAAAGCGCCACAGTACATAAGGACTAAATAAATCTATACACCACTCACAGTGCCTGCTCTGACCAAGCTGTGGAGGCCACAGAGACTGGACACCATGGGATTGTGAGAATGACTCATAGAGCTCCATGTGCAGACCCTTACTGAACCAGAAACGGACTTTGATTATAGTTTATGATGGCTCAGACTGTGTAATAACACTAGTTTCACTGTGACTCTATCAAAAACTATTGCAATCAAAATATCTAAACTGCAGAGGCAGACAGTAACAAGGTGCAGTATACCTACTTTGTTACTTTAAAGTGGTTGTTTCAAGGGTCTATATTTCACTTGAGTGTTCTTTCTTTTGGCCCACTTCTAGCCCACGACATGTTTCTTTGAGCAAAAGTCCACTTGTTCCTCAAATACATTTAATGCATGTAGTTCAGAATCAATTGTAGTAATATCACATTCCCCAACCTGTCCTTCAGACTGACTCAAGGTTTATCCAGCACATTTCCTCCTGGATTTCCAAGGTAAAAAATCTCAAAAGCACACTGTTATGAATTGCAGTACTGTGCAAAAGTCAGAGACCCTGCATTTATTTAATTTTTTGGCTAAAATGACCATATTATGCGCTTATGCACATCAGGACGGGGAAGTCAAATAAAGATAAAACAGGAGTTTCCAAATCTGGAAATCAAAAAATTATTCAAAGATATAGAGAAAATGGGACTCCTAACACCCAAACCACTAAAACTGTCACCATCAGATAAACAGTGCTTAAAGCTTTCATCTTTGAGAAAGAAGAGAAAATCAAAAAGACCACAGGTATTTCTGTCCATCCTTCCACTGTGAGAAGACAACTCAAGACATGAAAAATATTTGCAAATCAAACAAATATGCTGATGTTCGCAGAACAACAGACAGACCACCAAGAGTCTGGACCTCAACATCACTAAATGTGTTTGGGATTACTTGCATTGTGAGAAGCAGAAAATACCACCAACTTCTAAGACTGAATTTTGAAGATGTGAAAAAATATCCCTGCAGAAAAACTGAAAGCAAATCTTCTGTAACGGACCGAAGCTGTAATAAAGGCGAAGTATTGATGCACTAAATACTCCTATTATATTTAGTTGTTGGAACTTCTGTTTGCATTTTTTAGTAAATACATGTTTTTTGCTTTTTTACTGATGCTGAAAAATAAATATCTTGCAATTATTGTCAGTTCTGACTTGAAATTAAATAAACAAATGTTACTCTCTGACTTAGACACAGCAACATATTGCAGAGAAATGCACCAACTATCAACATGGGCTATCAAAATGCATGTGATGATGTTTAGAAGATTAGAACTGATAACTGAAAGAACAAGTTTTTAGTGATTTCATTGAAAGATCTTCTTAGATGATGTCAAATAGAGATGGTCAAATCAGCACAGCCAACTACAGCATTATAGACTGGCTCAAAGAAAATGACTTAAAAAAAGGATTGATTTAATACCAGCTCCCCTAGTACAGACATGAGGAATGAGCAGAGGCAGAAATTAGCCAAGCAAAGGCAGAATAACAGCCATATTAAAATCAGCTTACTTAAAAATGAAAATGCTCCTGAGACCAAAAAAAATTATATCTTCAGAAACACTAATGGGACTTTGACACATTATTATCACTCACACCATCTTGAATACCCAAGTGACAATATCACTTGGATAAACAGAATAATTCAGCAGATGGAAATTAGCTAGCAGTTAACTTCAGTGCAAAGCATCTTTTCTCACTTGTTCTTGTTTATGTCCCCTACAAACTAAGCATAACTATAAGTATACTAGAATCAGGCCTCCCATTTGGGAATAGGGAATTTCTAATACAAGCAATAAAGTGGTTCAAAGGAAAGGTGGATGGCTTTAATGGCAGCTCCACTGATATAAAGTGAAAGCGAAATGAGCAGAGCTGCTGAAAGCAGAAGCAGAAAAGAGCTTTTAGCAACTCAAACATTTGAGATGAACCTGCAGAAAGCCGTGGTCGAGTGCGGGGTGTTTGCATCTCCTGACGTGCGTGGGGCAGCATATGGTAGCGCTTGGCCTCATTCACCAGGTCTCGACAGGCCTCAGACGACTTGATCAGCTCCTCGTTGTCCACTACGTTCAGCAGATAGCTGGGGTGAATAAACGGCAGCCTCACTACTGCCAGCAACTCCGATATATGCTGTGAGAGACACAGAGATAAAAAAAAGTAGGGTTAGAAATGAACACACCATGGCTTTCACAGATCACATCATATCACATCTGGGTTTTTTAGAAGGAAATTATGTATTTGAGCCCTCTGTGAAATAGTGCACTTGTGGTCCTGTAGTCCACATTTGCGTGCGTGTGAGTACCTGCAAAGCCAAAAGGCCATTTCTCATTTTGCCGTTCAAAAGTGTTCAAAAGGATGCCCTCTATGCAGCCCTTATTGCAGCCTTAGATGATGACAGCATAGGCACGAATTCAGAAGTGACCTCTTAACCAGAATTCCTTATGATACAGATGAGGACCAATCATTGATTTCATTCGCTATTGATTTGCACTACGCTTGTAATCTGAATAGACATACTGTATATAAGGAAATTAGCTTTACAACAAACAAAAAAAACAAAACAAAATTTCACAAAAACCAAAATTTCTGCCAGAAAATAAAATCTTAAAAAAGTGAAGGAAAGCTTACTACTTGCTGCCATGTGGTTGTTTACGGTGCCATGGCTACTCCACTGTCTCTAAAACATGACACGGTACTGATCGGGCAGAAAATTGGAATTGTTCTCTCTTTTCCCTCCATTTAAATCATGGAGCAAGGATTTGTTTTCCAAATCTGACTTTGGTCAACATATCTTTAGAATACTGGGGTATTTTGAGGTATTTTTTAATACTTATGATGACACCCCATTTAAAAGAACTGAGCACAGTAGATTCTGACACCTCGTAAGACAGTTTAATAAAAATAAAACTGCAGTCAGTTGTAAACATGTTATTGAAATTTGTATTTTGAATAATGTTTAGACAGTAAATTAAACTTCTTTTTTTGAAAAAAAAAAGGAAAGGAAAATCCAGATTTCTATAAAAGACCCCTTTAAACACAGTCATTGCAGGGGTTCACTTCATGTAAGATTAACTTTTCTAACACCTCTTTATTTCAGATCAATTTCACTCTATCAAATCCGTCAATCAATCCTTTTGTCCTATCAGTGGCATCAGAGATGACAGATACTCCCGTGAGTGTGTGTGTGTGTGTTGGGCAGCTGTCTCTGGGGATGAGCAGGTCTGATAGGAGTTGCTATGGTGAGGGGCTCTGCAGGCTGATGGCTTGATTGTTGAGAGCAGGGGCTCTGCGGGGTGTTTGCTCGCGTTAGCGTTGGGCCTGTAAACACGGGCTGACAGGGACGGCGGCCGGACTGACCTGTTCACCCCGGGCCATCACACCATCTCTTACATAAAGGCCTGTTCACACATGTGGCCTGTTCCAGCACCTGTGCCTGTGTTCTCTTTCAGAGCCAGAGCTGCAGGAGGAGTCAGCGAACCACCAGGCTTTACCTGCTCTGACCTTGGGACAATGGCCACATTCACTTTAGACTCATTTGAGATTTGTACAATTAATACTTGAGTTGACATTTTCTTACCAGCCTCACTATACACCAATTGCTTCTATCAATTTCTCCCCCTTTCAATTTCTCCCCCCTCTTCAAAATACCCTATTTAGCCAAAATTTGTTGCACAAACAATATAAGGCTAGAGGCCAAGTCCAAGGAATGGCCTTGGAGCTATTTCACACGTTTGCCAAGTCTTGGCTGCACTTCAATCCTTTGTCCTACATATACTCCTACTAAAACACTTCCCAAATGTGCCCTGTAACTAAACTTCCTGGAGTGATTCTGTCCAAGTTGGCTCAGCTGCGGCCCAGCCAGCTGAAATGAAATGTCATGCGTGCCTGCTTTCAGAGTAAATGTATTAATGTAAAAACTGTCTGTTGGTTTCGGGGCACAGGAAATGTCCCCAGCAGGCCATCAACAGTGCCGCTTCCTGACTGAGGGATGAAGGATTAAAGACGGCGGTGGTCTGGACACATGGTCCGAACACAGCGATGTGAAATAATGGAACAGCATATATTACCGTTTCAAACTTCGGAATCACTTGTTATATATGTAAAATATGATTATATATTATAATATAATCACATGATATATATATATATATATATATATATATATATATATATATATATATATATATATATATATATATATATATCCCCAGTATGTAAAACTGTGTGCACAAGTGGGCAATTATCACAGCATTGGTTATAGCAATTATTAACTTCTTAGTATTTGGCACCACTAATAAACACACATATATACACTAACATCTTTCATAATACTGTATAAAGATTGAAATATTACAGTCTAGACATGAAAATGGTTAGATGTTTTAGTCAATATTTCAAATACTTTAAAGACAAAAAACAGAAAGACTAAAGTCAGAAACCTAGATGTATTAAAGGATCTTAATTTCACCATTAGACAGCTACAGCTTACTTAAAATGCTGAGGTTAGAACACTCACCAAGGCAATATGTATATTATTCTAGTATTTAAATCCCTACGCTGGCTGCCAGGACCAAAACACATCTCTTATCTACCCAAACAATACAAACCAAACAGGCCTCTCAGACTTACTCAGGACTGGTCGGGCAGCAGTGCCTACAATTAGAACCAAGCATGGAAAGACAACTTTTCGCTTATATGCCAAAGCTGGGGCCAGATACCAGAAAATTTCAGATATGCCCCAAATTCTGACATCTTTAAGACCAGACTAAAGACACTTCTTTTTTCTCTTACCACTGACATGTACAAACTTTCCATCTAGACTTTGCTCTTCTTTTTAATGGTTTATGTGCACAATGTTTGCCTTTTTTCCCTATATGCCTTATATATGTACATCTAATTTATGCAATTATCTAATCAGCCAATAGAGTGCCAGCAGTGCAGTGCATAAAAACATGCAGAAACAGCACAACGGCTTCAGATAATGTTCACATCAACCATCAAAAAAATGTGATCTCAGTGATTTTGACCATGACATGCTTACTGGTGCCAGATGAGTTGGGTATTTCTATAATTGCTGATCTCCTGGGATTTTCACACCACATTCTTTACACTTTACTCAGAATGGTGCAATAAAGAAAAAACATCCAGTGAGAAGTGTTTCTGCAGATGTGCAAGGCCTTGTTGATGAGAGAGATCAATGGAAAATGGCTAGACGTTGACTTTTTTGCAGAAAGGCTATGGTAACTCAGACAACCACGCTGTAGTGATCAGAAAAGCATCTCAGAATGCACAACATGTCGAACCTTGAGGCAGATGGGCTACAACAGCAGAAGACCACGTCAGACTCCATTTCTGTCAGCAAGGAACAAAAAGCTGAGGCTGCAGTGGGCACAGACTCACCAAAACTAGACAGTTGAAGACTGGCAAAACGTGGCCTGGTCTGATGAATCTAGATTTCTGCTGAGACACATAGATGGTTGGGTCAGAATTTGGTGCCAACAAGCATGAATCTATCGACCCAACCTGCCTTGTGTCAACAGTCTAGGCTTTTCAACATCTTGTGGAATCCATGCCATGAAGAATTGATTGTTTTAAGAGCAAAGGGAGGCTACATATATATGTATATATATTATATATATATATATATATATATATATATATATATATATATATATAATATCATAAATTAATGAAGACTGATTTCTAACTTGTGATTGTTGATTCCAAATATATGTCCTGCTGGCCCGTCTCCTCCCTTAGTCCCCCAACCTCCACAGTCCCTGCCAGTGGTGCAGCTCAGCCAAACAGCTTTGGAGCGGTTACAGAAAATAATCATCAGCTCCCGGGCCGGGTCGCCGCCGGGGACCAGGCGAGAGCTTTAACAGGCAGCAGGGGGATTTCTGCTCCTGTTCATAAATCTGACTCGCTACAAAAACGCTGATACTTGCGAGCTAGCCGTCCTGCAATAGGCGATTAAATGATTGCGCTAAAATATGCAATCCTCTAGGAAAGGAGTGCGAACAGAGCAAAAAAGCAAAAGCTTCTCCAAAGTGACACGCTTCAACCTGAAAGACAGGAAAAAACATGCCGCAGGGAGGCGATTTCTCGACCTGATGAATTATGGATGGGTTCAGCTGGACCTCATACAGAACCGCCTTTGCAGTTATGACCCATGTGGTGACCAGTCTTACTGCTAAAATCAACAGAGTGAGAAAAGTGAGCTGTCGTGTTTAGGTATTAAAGTCCAGAGTTTCGGGCGAGCATACAGTGGAAAGGCCCAGGTGTTGCTATCGTCAGCCATCCTAGCTGCTTCAGCAGAAACGGCTTTTAAAGGCATGTGGAGCACTCAGCAGTGTTTGGGGCAGGCTCTGCTGGTCAGGGATTAATACTGGTTCACCCTGACCAACCTCTAAAATAGCCTTGCCATGCCAAGGCGCTCTAAGCTGGGTCATTGCGCAAGGCAGACAGAATTAGTCAAGTTTTCAGTGTACTACAATATACTATACCAGCGGAATTGATCAGACATTACAGTCCCTGATATGCAACAAATATTAATGCAGTCCTAGAGAATATACAACCAGCAGTGTTGCTTTGTAGCTCCACCCCTTGCCTTAATGCTTGACTTTTTTAAATGATCTAAAGGAAATGCTTTCCAAGCATTCTTCACTGGTGTCTGTAGACCAGAGTAGTTTAATTTTTTTCTTCCACACATTTCCCAATGTAGTACCTCTACCTCTCACTGGAATTTAAATTTGATGATTGTGCTACCATGTCATCACCTGAATTTCCTTGATCCTTTCCTCTCACTTGGCGAGTGGTCCAGAATGTTGCCCTGCCCTGTTGGAATACCCATAATGTTTGGGTTTTTTTCTCCTTTAGCCCCTAAAAGCTGGAGTTCTCCCTGGCAAAAGCACTGTGAAATTTTATATTATTCCTCTCACATAGCTAGGGCCGGCCCAAATAATCTGCATACTCGGGTATTCGTTTGTCACGCTGATGTACATTTCTGCATTTAGCATTCAAAAGCTTTACAACATAAAATAAATTTCATGAGCAAAGGCCATCAGTTTTGTTAATATCTGAATTTTTTTTAATGAGTACACTATACAGTCACATGCAAAAAGCAAAAT